CCTTAACATAACTACTATTAATGATCCTTAGAACTACTGGCATATATAGTAATTTTGAAAACTGCTGGACAAAACAAATGCTGTGCTGTAAATAGGATATTAATTCTCATTTAAGAGTTCTAGTTCTAATTTTTTTTTAAGCCTTCATACTCTTTACGTCATACTCCTTCAATTGTTTCCAGTTTGATTTTTTCATCAAAATATTTTAATATCTTTAAGGATATATATAATCTTTTACGTCATTTTCTTCTGAAAGTTCACCTCCCTATTTCCTTTTCCAAAAGAAAAAGATGCATTAAGCAAAGTTAGAGAAGTTAGAAGTGAACCCAAAAAGCCTTCACAATTACAGGTTTCAATATAATCTCTCTCTTGCCTAAGACTCCATTTGAGATTAAAATATCAACCTGAATTGTTAAATAATTTCATTTTGTTTAAAGCTGCAACTAACGACTTATTCAGTAACATAATTGCCCACAGCATGGACCTTGGCAGCACAGGCACACCAGAGACAGAGTGGCTAAGCAACTTACCCTTTCTGATACTTTTCATCGCTGAAGTAAAACAGGCGGGAAATGTGGAAAAGAAATTCAACAAAATAATGCAGCACCAAAAGAACAAGTCCTAGATGATTCAAGCTGTTGAAAAACCAAATTGAAAATGTAAAGATTATTTATCAATTAAAACAGATGAGCATTCTATCTGCCCCGTCCACATACACACCCAGGAGAAATCCCGACTCACTTCAGCAGATAAGCCCCGGCAACGTGAAAGAGGTAAAGACCGATGTAGACGAGCTGACGGGGAACGTCCTCCTGCAAGCAGAAGACTGCGTTACAGATGGAAGTGCGGAAACATTTCAGTTCCCAGGACTGTGTGGCCGCATGGAAAACGTGCTCTTGTAGCAGACCTGAAGGCCACTCTGCTCCGTACCTGGTCCCAACCGCTCCTCCCAATCAACAGTGTGGCTTCAGCAGGTCACGGACCCTCGCTCGACTTCTGCGATCCATGTGTACGCGTGAATGATACCTGGGTTTGTTTGAATCAGATGAACTCAAAGTCCCTTTCAGGGCTAGGATCTATGTTTCTTTTTATAATAAGCATTTATTGAATGACACAATATTAACAACCATAATGATGTCCTTCTAATATTAGAACTGCTATGTTTATAGCAACAGAAATACTTTTGTTTACCTAAAATAGTATTTACATTTTTTAGCTTATGCTTTTAGTCCCTTTCCTTATCAGTTACAGTCATTAAAATTGAAGGTTAAAAATTTATCTTCTCACTTTAGGGTACCACTTAATTATACATTCTCCTTTTAACAACCTTGTAAGCCAAGTAACCAGATTTTTCTTTTGCTTCTTATTCATCCTTCCATAGTCCCCGACAACCTGGTTATCTTATAAAGTGTTTTTAAAAAACATACATCAAGACCTACTAGTGGATCGTAAAATCAATTTTGGGGGTCACACTAACCTCTTTTTTAAAAATATAGAATAGAATAGAAAATGTTAAAGTGTACAGCACATTGTACTGTTCATGAAAAATGTATTTCAGATTTTACACCCCCCACACACAATCATGATGTAAAATCTAGTTTTTTGCCTTGGGTTGCAGTCAAAAATGTTTGCAAAATACATAAACAATTTATGAAATGCTGTACCTCTCATTTCTACTGTTTTAGCAGTTTTCCACATATGGGTATCTCCAGTTTTTCCAAAGTTCGCTTTACTTTTACAAACGGCCTAGCTTAGTATCTGTTTTCGCTAACTGAAAGGAATCCGAAGAAGATTATGAAAAATGGCGAAGAGTGAAAACGGCGTTTGGTGTTTGTTTGGCAGTGAGTTGTTAGAGGCAGCGTGCACCCCAAGCAGGCGGCACCCCAAGCTCCTTCCCCAGAACCACACTCAGCATCAAGCCGCCAGAGCGCTGAACTGCGTCTGTGAGCATCTGCGCTTCATCGCCATCTATTTTGAGCGTCCGTGAGCAAGATGTATCTGTCCTAAGGCAATTGCTTCTTTGCTTCATGCCAGTTCAGTTTCACAGGAACTCTACTTTTGGATGGCACAGGAAACCTCTAAATCCATATATCTGGCTATATTAGCCTGGAGCAGATATACGAGGCCGTGTTAGCCTGGTCAGAACAAGTCACGTACTACAGACGGATGATGATTAAAATTAAAACGGTAGAAGGCTGAGTGATATTCCTCTGGAACCTCGCTAAACTCATCTCCGGCATCCAGAAGAGCCGAGCACAGGTCTCTACTGGTCCTCTATTTCTCCCCCTACATTTACTACATCAAATTTTCTGAGGACGAGTCGAGATTTTACGAGTGTACTTTTGAAACTAAACGTTTCCCTAGTGAGAAAGATACATGGGTTGTGCTGGGAGGCAGAACACAGTCGCAGGGCGCCATCGATCGTGCTACGTCGGGGACTCGGGAGAAGTCCCAAGGCCTGAGGCCACGTTTACGGTGGCTCTTCCAACTGGAGAGAAAAGGACCTCTGAGAACAAGCCGTCTGAAGATCCCTTCCGCTCAATTTTCAAACGTCCATTGAAATCCCTCTCCTTGCGGGAGGGGAGAGCGGGAAAGGCGTCGCGACCACACGCTGCCCGCAACCACAAGGGAGCCCTTCCGCTCCTGTGGTCCTTTCGGAACAGCTGGGTCCCAGGGCCGTCAGCGTAATCCGACATGCCACGTATGGCATGTTCCCCGAAGTGCGGCGTGTATGCCGCTGGCACCGCACAAAATGATGGTAGATAGTACACAATGAAACATTTTAACTACGATTTTAAATAAAATATTTTAAGTTACAACAAGATGGCATGTAAATGACTTAAGATGGGAAATACTGCCATACTCCTTCAGATGTGCTCATCAGTGCTCCAAATTTCTGAGAGGAAAACAGACCCTGAGGGCCCTGAAGACTTATAAATGAAAGTTTTTTAGTTTTTAATTGCTGACTGAACATTAAACTTCTGTTAAAAATGAATTTGCTGCGATAACTTCTGTTAAAACTATTTTATAGACATGTAACTTCTTGGGAGGATTAAAAAAAGATTTACTTTTAAAGAAACACAAATAGGTTTTAAAAGTAAAGATCGGTTCCTCTGCAACAAATCTAAAACCGTTGTTATAAATTACAAAGTACATTTCAAAAAACCATTCCATTTCTCTTGTCTTAAACCACAACTTAATTAGGTAAAGCAAGGTTGTGCTTGCCATTAGGTAAAGAAAAGCCCAGAACTTCTATCCTAAAACCAGGTTCAACTTTGCAGCTTAGCCCCGTCTGTCTGACAGCTGACCAACTGACTCAATAATGAGGAGTAAAATGCCATCACCACCTTCCATCTCCACAACCATCGAATGCTTGCAAGAGCTTTTAAAATAGTTCCTACAACTTTCAAAAGGACAGATTTTCAAGAAACCTTTTGCTAAGTAATGCTCTCTTCACCTGTATACAAATTGGCCAATGTTTTCTAAAGCAATGTCCGTATACTCAGAGCCTGACCAGAAAAAAAGTAAAAATAAATGAGCGACAGAGATGAGTGTAATACCACAGGGAGTGGTGGAGATTGTGGGGAGCTACAGAACACACACCCTAGATTAAAAGCACTGTCGTATTATCTTAAAAATACAAAGGTAATGAGGTGATGTAGCATGATTTTTAAAATAAGAAATTTTATCTAGATTTCATTTAGAAAATGGCTGCTTTTAGCATTCCTGTTCTAAGTCAAACTCCTCTGACATTATTCAATCTTCATGGGGTTACAGCCCTACTGGAGGGGTGCTTACATGTCTGAGGACACCCACAAAGAGCCTGACCAGCACCACGGTCTCTGGGGCTTACACGTTTCCACCGACTGTGGGAATGGGGAGAACAGAGGCAGCTGGGCGAAATTTGGCCCTCTTAGTGGGAGCTCATGGTATGCGTTCACTGGTCACATCACAGCACGCCATCCAAAGTAGCTCGTCGCTGTTCTAGAATCTAGAGTCTAGATGAATATGCAAGTGACTGAGAGAAAGTTATTTTGGTTTCTCAAGACATTTTCACACATCATCCTATGATTCTGTTATGTAAATAAACTTTTCCTACTAGGAGCCAGAAATGAGGTTTTGCTTATTTGTTTGTTTAAAGATTAACAAACATTTTTATACTTGAATTGAAAAATATATAATGAAAATGAGTATTAGAAAAGCTTTGCCAAGTTCTTATTTATTTTTTAAAAATTATTTTACCCATATTCCCACACTCATACAGATATAGAACATTTCTTTAACCCTAGAAAATTTCCTCAGTTAATCCCAGAATCCTCAAGAAAATCAGTATTTGGGCAAACCAAAGTTCTTACATATTTTTAATGCTAATGTATACGTAGTTTACATAAGGATGAAACTATGGAATGACTTAAAAGCCTGATAGTCTCATTTTTCATGAAAAATCTTATAGTATACTTAAACCAAATTCTAAAATTATCAATAATGGCAAGCGAAATTTTTCGTTGTTATTTCAACATCTTTTTATTAAAAAGTCAGCCATATACTTTATTAAATTTTTGTTTTTATAAGACAATGCTTTTCTTAACTGAACTATACTAAAAAACAAACTTTACCTTAAATGGAGTATCACATATATGCCCAAATATAAGGCAAAGATTTTCCCCTAAACCACAAATGGAGCCATCTCATATTTAAATCTGTTCAAAACTCTTATATTATATGGATTTATATCAATTAGTTTATTCTGAACAATAAATAAATGTTTGGGTAAGATACACAGCCTTAAACACCTCAATCAATATAATTTCCAAATGCTTACAGAGGTCTAGTGGAAGAATCAGACCTTTGAAACACTGAGGTGATTTAAAAGTGGCTCTAGTGATGATGAAATAGTAACAATATTTGCATGTGCAAAGTGTCAATATAACTTTCACGAAATAGGAGTGGGGTAAAAAGCATTATTTCTCATTTAATATATTTCATACGATATATAATTACATAAACTAAATATCAGAAATAAAACACTTGGCTGTTTTATTCACACTTCCCTGAAACCTCATCTATAGGCAAAATGGAGGACTGTTTATATTGAAGCGTATATATTACATGTGATTAAAATATTTTTCTCAAAAAGAACTGAGTTATTTGTGACTAACACACCTCTTGGACTGCTGCTGCCAACAGTGTTCCTTGCCTTCTTCATTTCTCTGTAGGGTCGGTTCAAAACAATCACTGTACTAGTTTCTTCCAGTAAAGAGTTCTTCCAAAAATAATTTTCAGAGTAAATTTTAAGAAACTGTTTAACACATATGCAGCTGTTACTTTCAAATTATGTTAATTACTTGAAACAGTTACTTTTGACTGTAATATGTAGGTGTTAAAAATAGTTCCACAGTTAAGTTCTAAGTTATGCAAATTATTCCATAAAAATTAGATTGCATTTCTGGAGAAATGCCATCTGGCAGGAACCGATAAGAAAAGAGCTTTAAGAACTAAAATGAACAATTACTTTGAAATGTCCCTCTTGACTTACATGGTCAGTGAACAAACTACAGACATATGTATTAATAATGAAACCCAGAGGTATTATGTCCATGGGTATAAAAGTACACAAATACAGCTTTAAATTCTTGAGCCGTGGTGCTAAGACATCAAAGGAACTATGATATTCTCAGCAGCGCTGCCCAACAGAACGTCCTGCAGCGGTGGAAACGTTCTCTCTCTCTGCTGTCCACAATGGTAGACGGTGCAGGCACAGGTGGCTAGAGAGCACCTGCGACAGGCCTAGTGTAACCACGACAGTGAATTTGTAAATTTAATTTTACTGAATTTAAATGTGACCAGTGACTACCGTTTTGGACACTGCAGCTCTAGGACACCTATGATTCACATTAGGTGCTTACAGAATTTGGAATGGCTACTGGAAATCTGGGAAGGGCTACTGGAAATTTTGAGTCTAAGCATTTTACCTTAAGACTATTGTAGGTCGAAGGTATTACAGATCATCATCTTAATCCTTACAATTGACTTAACTAGAAAAACATTCTACTTTATAAAATAAATCAACATAAAAAAGAACTTTTGAGCCAGAGTACATGGACTCCAATTTGGTGCTATTTTTCAATTGTAGCAGACAGCAACAATGATGACAGACACATATGACACAAAAAAACACAGACATGAAACAGTAGTAAATCGAGTATAGTCACAAATGAACTATTTGTAGTACATGTAGAAATAAGTGTTTATGGCATTTGAGAGGCAGAGATAAACTGGTCACTGGGTTCTTATACTTCTATTTTGGAAAGTTTCTCAAAGGCAGGCAATAAAAAGTTTTGAATGTGGAAAAATGTAAACCCATATATAACCAGCAGAGTATAAAAAATCTCCATTGTACCCCTATCCCAGCTTCAACAGTCATTAATTCATGACCAAACTTGCTTCCTCCATATCTTCATCTACGTATGATTTCATATATGGGAATTTTAAAATCATGTCTTCCCTAAAAAAGGGAATAAAAGTGCTTGATTAATTTACCAGAGGGCAAAAGCATCCCAGAAAAAGGAACTGAAGTGTCGGGATTATAAAACTCAAGAATATTCATGTGAACGAAGCGGAGGCGAGAGCAGAGGGAGAAGGGCCCAGGGAGGTGGCACGGATGAGCAGCTTTATTTACTTATGTAGTTTAAAGAAACAGAGAGCTATAATAAGTTTTAGAGGAAAAAGAGTTAAATAAAGGAAATAAAGTTGATTCGTGATAGATAGGCTGTTAGTCTGACTTCAGAAGTACTGAGGGCAAAATTAGAAAAAAGAATATTGCAACGCTCCAGCGGTTTATTTGTTCAAATAAAACAAACATCTTTCCCACATGCTAAAAAGGGAGTGCTCCACCCACAGCAGGAGAAGCTTCACTGGTGAATATTTAACCACGGTTTACTTTTTCCAATACCGAATTTTTCTGTGGGATTTACACACAGAACCATCAGTTGTAGGATAATCTGAAGGAGAATCCTCTGCGTCTCACTTGTGACACTGCTAGACTATCAACAGCGTGAAACTAATATTACATTTCAACATTTGTTTGAATTATAATTTATCATTAATATAATTTTACATGAGCGATTAGCACGTCAAATGTAAAATAATCCCTCTCTACGTGAAAAGAATGACTAAAGGGTTTTCGGTAAGTACTAAAGGACATTGGTCTTCGTGGAGAGAGCTGAGGTGAGAGGGACAGGGACATCAGAAAATATTTAATTTTAGAAGGACTTTTCAGAAAAGGAAAAAATGACAAGAGAATTTTTAAAATCATAAAATTCCAGCTTACTTTTTTGGTTTTCTGGAAGTAGAGTTCAGGAAAAGCATGAAACCAGTAAGCCAACTGCGATATGTAGAAAAATTTCATTTGAAATCTGCACAACACAAGAAAGGGAAAAATACGTCTTAAAGCATACTACTTTAAAAAGAATAAAGTAAAAACGAACACTATAAATCAAGATAGTCACCTTTGTGTCACCATTTCAGGTCCCCTCACAGTACTCTGTGCACCTTTAAATAACTCTCTCACAGCCACTTCCCATCTCCCTAGGGTACTCCCACCATCAGCCAATTCCTCTGGATTAAACGCAGAAGGAAAGACATCTGCAGAACCTTAACATGCAAGCCAGCTGGGACGAACCAGAGGCCCCTGTCCATTAGTTAATTAATATTGAGTCATGTGTCATGTTAGCTACTGAAAACATAAGGAACGTAACTGAGGGAATCAAATCACAGATCTGTAAGGTTTCATCAAAACAGAAGCAGGGAAGGCAAAAGACCGACACGAAAGCAAAGGCGCTTAGATTAAAAATCACCTGAAACTGGGATAATCCCAATTTCAAATATCCCCTGGCTTTCTCCTTAGTGAAATATGTTAACTCTACCTGGTGGGAACACTGAGAGCCCCAAATAAACGGAGGCAAGCCAGAGGAATATGGCACAGAAGGGTCCCCTGAGACGGATCCTAACCAGCCTAGACAATATATTGCCTCCTCTTTACATTACACCCCTCCAGGCCTTCTGCTTTCTCTTTATTCTCCCTTCTCCCACTCCTCCAGAAGTCTAAAATAGAGAGCACGAGCCAATCTGAAATAATTTCTGGGGAGAGAGGAAGATACAGTCCCATATCAATACAATGTTTATAATGCCATTCTATAAAAGTTCATTGAATTAATCTAAATTTTAAAAGTTAGAATGACTCAGCAGAGTGGGTATTATTGCTGGACTTAAAACAAAGATATGCATGGTCGTGTTATTCCCTTCATATCTTTCTCCAATTCTCACATCACAGAGCATTTGCTAAGTAATATCTAGGTGACAAGCACCTACGGCCTGGCATGACAAAGGCTATAAAATAAGGGATAGTTTCTCTCGCTGTCAAGGCACAGATAGTCGTGGTGAGCATGGGCATGATGTAAGACTTATATAAATGAGGCAATTATAGAACAGTCAAGATAATATAAGGATGCTACATATTATACACCAAAATGACACATTCAGGAAAGCAAAAGTCAATATAGGCTAAAGTACAACAAAAATATGGAATAGATGTACTAGAGCTACATGAATAATTTAGCTGAATGCCTTTGCAATGACTGGGCTTCTTACAGCACAGTACAGAAACCCGGGAGGCTAGAAAGATAAAAAAGAAACAATCCCTACCCTCAAACTTATAGTGTGAGAGAATAAGAAATTTAAAGAGTGAGGAGACTGGGGAAAAAAAAAGGAGCAAAGGTTTAGAGAAGACGGAGCAGTGAGGAGGAGAAAGGATGAGAGAGAAGGGAACACAGAGTACTAAACTGAGATGACGGTTAAAATCAGTTTTCTTAAGCTAATGAGCATGTCGAAAAGATTATATATGTTAAAAAAGCACACAGGGTTTTTCCCATGGCACTGGGACTGCAAAGACACACTACTGTATGACTTTGCCTAAGGTCCTAAAGAGAATAATAAGAATGAATTCTGCTTAAAAGTGACGTAACCATGGTCTTTAAGAAAAGCCTTCTAGAAATGACTTACGTCATCAGGTTATGGGGATAAGCCCTCCACAAGATAGTTGGGTCTGAGATGTAATTTTCCTAAGAAAGAAGATAAAAAAATTAGCCTATTAGTATATTGCAAACTTCTTGGAAAATAAGACAGTATTTTCATTTCTTACACA